GTTGAGACATAATGTGATGTAGTGTCGACGTTGACGCGCTGGTGGGGCGCGACCGATTCGCTTGGGCAACCGATTCGCTTGTGAACCACGTTATAATATACTAAATTAATTATTAGAATTAACTAGTAGTTACTATTACTTGCACTATCTATCTTAACTGCGCAGGTACGAACGTTAACTATACGAATACTATTGATATCAAGCAACAAACTAACAGAGCTGCTTACAAGAAAAAAGAAATATCGCCTACATATATCCAAGCCAAACAATCTCAAAATCCAAGATCATCATCCAAATCATCATAATAATCAATCTGATTCCACACCGGCGGCGTCGGCGCAAACTCCCACATACTCGGAATCACAATCATACCCAACACAACCCCAATCCTATCCTGCCACCCCATCCCGGGAACGAGCAACGCACTCAGCGCCATCGAAACCCTAAACAACCGCCCGAGAGGCGGCCACGGAAACCGGTGCGCACCGTCTTGATCTCGGGCGATGATTTGATCTTGCGCGTACAGCAATCGCTCGAGATAGCCGTACTGCTGGGTAGCGGTACGACCGGCGCGATTGAGTCCCGTGTCGCGGTGGAATCCGTTTTGGTTGTAGCCTTGGGCGTCGTAGATGGCCGGGCCGTATCTGGGGCAGCCGTGACGGAAACCGGCCCAGGGTTTGCCGCAGATGTAGCAGAAGGAGGTGCCGCATCTGCATCTATTATATATATTGCATTAGTCAAGAGGAATTTTGTGGGGTGGTTTTTTTCTTTGCTGTGATAAGGGTGACCGGGGAGAGAGAGAGGAAACGGATGGGGAGAAAAAGGACGTAATACTTAATGTGATTGCATGCTGCGGCCAATTCGATGGTTGCGCCGCAGGCGAAGCAGCATTGGTATCCATTTTCGAGGACCATTTGCCTGAAATTTTCGTCTACGTCGGTTGATCTGCATGTATGTGCTAGGTTGGTCTTGTCTAGCAGTGTCTTGCAGTGTACGCATGTCCAGCCCCCGCATTCTTCTGCCTTGCAGATGGCGTAGGTTGTGCTAGAGTGCGTCTTGGACGTTGGACGATGGGTGGAGGAACCGGGCGCAAGGCAAGTTTGCGCAGTAGAGTCGATTTCTGTTGCTTTTTTATAAGAGGTTGCTTGTAAGGTATCTTAGGGAGATAGTTTGTAAACGTACTTTGCCAAAATTGAGTACTTGCCTTGTTGCTTGCTGTGATACGCTGATGCTATATCAGCAGGAATGTGGTCTTTGTATTCTTCCAGCAAGAAAATCCGACCGCAACATTTTGGAGGGTAAAGACTCTCATCGTTGGTCGCATATTCAAAGAAGTTGGCTATGTCGTCTGCGCAGGCAAAGTGCTCGCCACAAGGTGCTTTGATGAAGGGATCATCTTTGCTTTCGTCAGACCTGCAGATCATACAGGTTTTGACGTTCTCCGCGATTTGAGGTGGTTCGTCTTCAGAGAGACGAAGACTGTCGGTCGTGGTTGGAGTTGCATCGCTAATAGAGTTATAGCGTTGTAGAAGCTGTCTAGTGGCAAGAACGCTTGCGAACGCAAATGCAATGTTAACGAAAGGAGTTATGTAATCCATGGAGAAGGTGCGCTCGATATGTGGACTTGAAGAGCTAGTATTGAATCGGCTTGGTGAAAGTGATTGCCAAAGTACAGAGAAGTGCAAGATCAACTTGTAAGTACGCTGAGATTTTGTATAACGTGTTTCACCACCGAGCGCCGCACCCCACC